GGGAGGGAGGGAGGGAGGGAGGGAGAGAGAGGGGTAGAGAGAGAGAGAGAGAGAGAGAGAAAGAGAGAGAGAGAGGGAGGGAGAGAGAGAGAGTGAGGGAGAGAGAGAGAGAGAGAATGAGAGAGAGAGAGAGAGAGAGAGAGAGAGAGAGAAATGTCTTTTTATAGAAAATTCAACGATAAGGCCATGTAGATTAAAAATGAAACCCTTCAGTGAAATGATGTAAGGAAGCCCAAGAAAGCCTTCGATGTTCATTACGTCGTCAGCCAAAGAGCTGAAGAGGCCTGAAGTTAAAGAATACAGACAGGCTGTTAACAATTTAGCCGAAAGGCCAGTACAACAAAAGCCTACACAATAACTGGGCATATGATCCAGAACGTCCAGCTTGAAATTAGCCCTGCCAAGGACACCGGTCTATACGTCAAAGATATAAAAAGAGGATTAAGAGAAGAAAACAGATTTTGCAAACACAACACGAAATTTATCGATTACAAAGAGCCAGGGGGGGGGGGGGGGGGGGGAGAAACGCAAGCCCAACTGAATATGTGTAATCTAAGGAATATGAAATTTTAGAAGGGAAAAGATAAATGACAACGTTTTTTGAGACGCGCTGTGACATTTACGAGAGATACATTCCATAAAAGTATAGCCGCCCCCCTCCCCCTAAAAAAAACTGCATGCATAAGGGAACATCGCGATTGCTGTAGAATATTTGCTGAATCCATTTTTAATTCCTCCCCCCCCCCCCCACTCCCCCACCCCAAAACCCTGCGCCACCCCTCCGCCCATTTTTTGCAGTTATGCCGTCCAATGATAAACAATTTATTGTAGCAAATAATAACTTGTTTTTCGGTGACAGGTTTGATAAAAGGGCACAACTCGCAGTATTCACTGACAAACAAATTTGGATCAAAGACGGGAATTAAAAAAAAAAAACCAAACATTTTTTCAATAACGTATAACAAGTGGTATAGCCCAGAGATAGCACAACTCGACAACATGCACATTTTGGATAACATCATCGTGTGATTCGAGATACTTCAAATTCATTTGACGAAGTCTGGCGAAAGGATTAGAGAAATAAATGCTAGGATAGCAAACCCTCTCGGGCAAACAGACATGAAAATCAAAACAAAGGTAAAAAAAAAAAAAAAAGAAGAAGAAAATCAAAAGGAGAGGGAAATAATGAAGAGGCAAAGGGAGACTGAAAACACAACCAGTGATTACAGAAAACATAATGAGCAAAACACGGTGAGCCTTCCGAGAAAATAGAACAGACAAACAACCTGTAGCAGATATAGGCTGAGGGAGACGAGACTGTGGCGGGAACAGGAGGTAGAAGTGAATGAGAGGGAGAGAGAGAGAGAGAGAGAGAGAGAGAGAGAGAGAGAGAGAGAGAGAAAGAGAGAGAGAGACAGACAGACAGACAGACAGACAGACAGACAGACAGACAGACAG